CGTGAACTCCAGCAAACGATAGCAACCTGCATCTGGCAATTCCATGCAACTCTATCGATCTGCGAGACGAAGAGGACCTGACCCCCTTTGATCCTTGATTTCCCAGCCTACCCTGACAGTAGATTCATTGGATGAGCTGTTCTAGTGTTGGTTTCCACAGCGTGTCAGCAGGATCCTGTTCTGCCGATGCGCAGTTCCCACAGATGCCGATGTGCGTAGCGAATACAGTGTCGGCTATTGCTGTATGGCATCGAAAATCCAATATAGGGTGCCGTATTGTCATGCACAAGTTGGAGTGAGTGTGATAACGTGGAGCATCTTCGAGCCCGTGTCGCGACCATTTTGCTCAAGCGACGCAAGCGATCGCTGCAGCGACATGGTCCACAGTGCGAACTGCCGTCACTCTCATCACCCCTGCAGCACTAGGTTTGGAATAAGGTAGATGATTTTCGGCGGCATGCCAACAGTTGCACTCATCTTTGCGGATCTTGTGTGGCCATGCTGGCTAAGCGTGTGTGAAACAGTGTTGCCGATTTCATTGCAACATGCCAGCGTAAAAACTTTCCACCTAGGTTCACTCGCCGCCATGGCTAGCCATTGGTGGACCGTTGTTTATGTGCAAGCGCTTCTGGTATGTGGATCGCTGAACACGATTACCATGAAGATCCTTGACAGAAGCTGGCTTCGGGTATTGAGTATGTAGACCAGCGTCGTACCGAACTCATCCGGCTTGCGCTTTTGTGTGCTGTGAGGGTGGCCTTCACCATGTCTGGAACTGCTGATGGCTGCCAAGAGCGTTTCGAGAAGCCGTGGCTCATGACCTTCATCATGCCAGTCATCCGCAACAGGAGAATTCAGTGGTCAGTGGTTCAGTCTGAATCGGAGCGGGCTCTCTAAGGTTCGTTTCAATGACGCTCGCTTTGCCTTTTGACACCGGTCGCCGCCTCATCGGAGAAAGGCAGCACATGGCGGCACAAGCGACTTCTCTGTTGAGAGTCCCTGCATTGTAGGCATGTGGAGGAAAAGCTCGCCCGAACCCCTCCTCGGTGGGCAGGCACGGGCTTTACGGAGTGGCACCGGGAATGCGCAGCAAAGCCATAGCCGTGAGGTTACAGATCGCTGGCGAGAGAAGGTCCGGCAACGAAGTCGATGTCCCTCATTCAAGCAGAACTCCTGCTTGCAACCACAAGCATCGAAGGTGATCAAAGTGATGTACCCTGCATTTTTTGACATCTTGGCGACCGGGCTTTGCTGAATCTCGCCTCCGATGTTTATATCATGTTTCTGTTGTTTTGGAGCTGCGTGGCGTTGGGAATGTTGTTTGAGGCATGGGATTTCTGTACATCCCGGCCAGCGTGTGGCGGCCTGTCGGCAGCGACTCCTCCTCTTTGCCTGTATTTTGCCCAAGCACCGAACTCTGTAGCCTCCGACTCCGATTCGCAACTAAGGCAGCTCCTCAGAGGTGCCGAAATCGTTTTTGTTGGAGCCTTGGAAAGATTTCCCGAGAGCGTTCTAGGGGTCCAAATGACTCGTTGATGCAGCTTGCCTTGGGGAGGCTGCCATTTTTGCTGTGACGTGCCTTCATCGGCGACTTTACTGTTTCCAGTACATCGGCTTGGTCTTCTGTGTGGCTGGCATCCTTCTAGTGGGCTGCATCCTCAGGCTCGGAAGTCTCAATGGATGTCCCATTAGGCCAGCTGTGACACGAAGGACTGGCCAGTGTGTGGGGTGACGACATGGAGGCGGGGAGCTTGGGTGCAGAAGACCTTCCGTAAGGTGAGTTCCGCGGCAAAGGTTCGTTCAGGCTTCTACATTTTTTCTTCCACAAACCATGATGGATGTTGTCCGGCGGGTTCGGCCTATTTAAACCTGATCCACATTGGTCGTACCTTGCGCGTAGACCTTTCACTCGAAGAACGCTCTAAATTGATGTGCGCGGAGGAGGTGGTTGGCTTTTCTGCGCTTCCGTCACGTGATGTATGCTTTTCTTGCTCAGCCTTCAGGTCGTTGCATGGCCGGCCTTCGCTTTACCTGCCTCACTTGATCGACCTAAGCCTTCCATAGACTCTGTAGACTCTAGGCGGAGGCCAAGGGGAAGGACACCGGCAATGTGCAACTGCTGCTGCTCGGAATCTGTGCCGAGCTTGGCACATATCAGCGTCACATGATGTGAAGTCCCATCCGTCGGGTACTCGTCGAACCCCTCGCAGCTAGTTAACTAATTTTGGACTCTTGCTCGCTGCTCGTTTCGGGTCACAGAGACTCAGGCCTGGCACTGGCGGGCCAGGTGGTCCAAGCAGCACAGGCTGTGGCAGAAGAGTGGCTTCTGCGGGACCTCAATGGAAAGCCTGCTTTTGCATGCTTCATGCTTCCGAGTGTGGGCATCGGAGAGGACGTCGATCTACCGGGTCTACAAGTTGTAGGCTTCGAAGGCGTCTGGGGCGCACTGGCCATGCATCTCGGCACCTGTCAGATCGTGTCCAAGCCATGTGGTAGCTGCTAGTAGCATTCGAAATTATGTACAGTTCTTCTAAGCCACTATGTGGGTTGGCATTTTCGAGGCTTGCGTTTGTGTTCCCGACCCTGTACATGCTTCCTGGGTCTTCGCCTTAGTTTCTACGGTTCGATTCAGTTGCTTCATGGCCTCGAGCAGCGCTGCAGGCAAGACCATGGACATGCAGAAGATGAGGTCAACGCGTACGAGCTGCTGAGGATGTGCTGATTGGGGGTCCGTTGTGGACGGTGGCACCACCGTCCACTCCACGCGCTGCGGTTTCTGAAATGTTCAGCCGAGGAGCAACCCTATGCTGAGTGCCTTGATGGGCTTGTACATTTTCTCCTGCGTGGGGGGCTTAGCACAATGTCTGGGCCACCTGTTTCATCCCATCCATGTGGGCATGTGGAGGCCACGTACAACATCTCCGGAATTGCAGTCACTGGAGCACTCTCTGCGGTGCACAGAGTGATGATAGAGGCGAAGGGCTCCGTGGGACAGGCAGCCGTGGAGGCGATACTGTACCTGTCGCTTCTCAGGCACTCCGAACATTGATCGTTTGGGCCTTCGGGCTGTGACGGTGCTGCAGTTGGCTTGACACGGAAGTAGCCTAAACAGACTCCTTTCCTCCCCTCCCTTGATCAGTACGTTTCGAGGAGCATCCACTACCTTGCGGATCCAACGTCGGCACTTGGCGAGGTCTGGACGTGATGGCGCTCAGACTCGGCCAGCGATGACGGGATGTGCGAGTGCTTTGAGTCCCTACCACCAGATCCCCCTTTTCCTCTCTGGCTAAGGCCTTACAGCTGGCTGGAGGCCTTGGATCACTTCTCGGGGTGTCGAATAGAAAGCAGAACTATGGTACGACCTTGATACGAGGTGGCTGGCTTCCTTCTCTTGGTGATTGGCCAAGTGATCTACGGAGCGATGGTGAAGGCACAGATCTCTCATCGGCTAGTCAAATGCCCAGTCGCTGGTTTGAGCATGCCTGTCTCAGATACCGCGGCTCTACTACCCACCGTCGGAGGCTGGCGACGTTGGTGCAAACAGCAAAGGTCATCGTTTGATTCTGTTGAAGGAGATCTCCCACGATGTCGTAGCATCACCTGGTTCCCTTCGAAACCTGACGGCCCTGCCGCCCGAGCCTATGTCGTCCCGGCTACAGCAACACAGATCTTCATGCTGGCTAAGGGATGCCCGGCTTGTGAGCCCGGGCTCTCATGATGGCAGAGTGGCTGGTAGCCCTGTTGCGCTAAGCCCCTGAGCCTGAGCTTGCAAGCTCGGAACCACAGGGGGGCGGGGGGGGGGGGGGGCAAGTGCGAATCTTTTAATCAGAGGCCAAAGGCTCCGATCTCGAACATCCCTGTTGAATCTAGACATGCGGGGGACTGTTCGGGATTAGTGCGCAGCCCATGCGTATGCAAAGACGGAAAAGTACGCACTCTCGGGCCCAAAGCAGCGGGCACGAAAGTAGCTATACATCTAAATCACCCTGGCGCTCGCTCTGGCTCAAGCTGCCAGCATCATCGTTTTCAGGCCCACGTGGCGCATTGGGCGCCGGCGTGGATTAGAGGAGAGGCCACCCTTTGGCGAGGTGCTGATACCGGTGACCGGTGCGTGACCAGTTCTTCTTGTACGAATTGATACAGTCCCATCCGGTTTTTGGGATCAACAAGGCTTACGTCGACTTTCTCACACGGCGTCAAAGCAGAGATCTCCTCTGCGATGTCGAATGCCTTGGCTCACCGAGCCTACGCAGAAGGTTTTCGTATTCAGGTTGGCCTCTCCACGACAAGCCGCTGCAGTTGCAAGCATTGCAAAGGTGCCATCCTGAAAGATGCGCTTCGAGTCGGTCAGCTCGTAGGAAGCCCAGCAGAGGGCATTGGCCCAAAGTGGTGCCATCCCGCATGCTTTCTGGATTTCATCAAGAGCCGCTACGCTTCATCTGGGGCCTGGTTCAAGAAGCATGTCCCCGAGCCAGAGCAGATCCCAGGCTTTCAGTCCTTTCAAAAGCACAAGCGGTCAAAACATACACAAGTCTAAACATGTGTGGCCCGTCTGTGCATGGCTGTTACATTTTTTGTAGCAGATTCGTTGCACCCAAAGGTTTAAAACATGGTTACACACTCACGCCAGTTGCTGGAGTGCCACGCATGAAGCCCGAAGCATGGAATCTTAGGGAGATCCCGGACATGCCTAAACCAAAAGTTTAAAAGCATGTTTAAACTGGAGACGGTGCAGAAACATGAGATTCAGTGTGTGTTTTCAAATTTCAGTGTACGGTGTAGATTTTCGAGCTTAGGATCGGAAAACTTGGGCCGCCGGCTCGTAGCTGCCGGGTATAGAATCCAAGCTGCATGTGTAGCACGTGCAAGTACAAGATTGAAGCTTCAACACTAAGTCCTAAACCCTAGATCTTAGAAAAGTTTGTAAACAGATGTTCAAACATGTCAAAATTTGAACATTTGCTGCGTCTTACGCTCACATGCCAGGCTTAGGTGGCTCAAAGGTCGAGGTACGGGTGCTCCAGGCTGCAAATGTAACCAGAAATCTTGAACCAGTGCTTAAACGTGTGTTGATCAGATCTCTCTCCGAGCTCGAGGTACAGGGGCTCCACTTGTGGTGTTAACATGTTCAAGCCAGCGCTTGACCATGCGTTTAAACATTTCCTGCATCAGTCGTTGCAACGTAAAGCCGAAGCCGAAAACTTCAGAGCTTCACACGCTAGACACCCAGCAGGCTCTGCAAAGTCTTGTCGCAGTTGTTCAACCAGTAAATCAGCAATAATACCCTAAAGCCTAAGGCACGTTGTGATTTTTCTGTCTAGAGAAAGAATTCTGGGGAAGGGAGATCCCGGCAATATTAAGCCCTGTCAGCCCCCGCCCCTGCGAGAAATAAGAAAAGAGCCGGTTAACTTTCCGACCGGCTCTAAATCAACTCAAACCCCAGAAGCTTCCAAGCCCACGAGAACCTTGTTGCCCAAAATTCATGTAGAAATCACTGGCTTGCTGCGATGCACATGTCTCATGTCTCATGTGACCCATTCGTTGCACCAAAGGCCGTTTCGCTACGTGCAGGATAGAACTCGAGGGCACCTCCTTACATGGTCGTGTCGTTGCTGCGTGTTTTCACAACACAAAGCCTTCTTTTGACCCCTCGTGAGCCCATAAGAGCCCAATAGAGTTAGTCTTTGAACTTTCACATCTTTACGGGACGGGTGCTGCGGATCTTGAACTATCACCTTTAAACTTTAAACACGTAGGTTTATCACATGGAATCTCGTGTTTGGTTTCACTTAACCTAGTTTAAGCTCCTTGCTGTAAAACTGTTCACACGTGACTCAGAGCGTCTCGTTCAAGCATCGATTTAAACAACACCCCCGCCCCAACCCTGCAGGCTTTGGAAGCCTGACGGCAGATGACAAAGCGATCATCTCCGAGCTGATTGATGAAGGAAAGAATCCTCGAGTCCTTGTGGTGACCATGGCGGAGGTTGGCACCAAGCTGGTTTGCACCAACATGGCTGGAAACGCCGTTGCTCCAGCATTGAGCCTAGAAAACGCCAACAAGGCGCGATTGCATGTTGCAAAAGCAACAAACAGAAGGGAGGAAGAGGTTCGATTGGTCAACACAGATGGCAGCTTGTTTGAGGGCATCAGCCGTGCCAGTGCAAAGAAGCGGAAAGCACAGGACATGTGTGCAGCCGCAGCTCTGGCCGGCGCGTGACGTGCCTGGGGTAGGGTAGCACTCCTGAACACAGGGGGGGAACAGTTTCAGTTGAGTGCCTGTGACGTCAAAACTCGTGTATGTGCTTCAATGACATGTTTTTTTAGAGCTGGTGCTGTGGCAACCGTCTCAAACCTTGAGGTTCAAGGCCAACAAATTCGACCAACGCTTGTGCAGAATAGTGGGTGTGGCAGGTACTTCGGGCGAGTCGTTCTTGACGGTTTGTGCTGGTAGTGTTGATGTCAGCGATGACGACGAGGCTGATGACCATGATGCGGATGACGACGGTTCATGTTGTCGATGATGATGATGATGATGATGATGACGATGGCAGTGGTGGTGGTGTTGGTGACAGTGACCGTGATGGTGATGATGATGATGATAATCATGATGGCGAGTGTGGCAGTAATATAGTCTTGTGATTCTGCGTATTCGTTCTGCTTCCAGGATGGGAGTCTTGATGCCTCCACAGTGCCTATTGTGCCTGTCGCCGAGCTACCCTTGCGAATTTCCATTCCAACATCGCTATCCCGCAAGCCAGAAAACCCCCAACCTGAACCCTGCAACCCGAAGCCCACAAGTTGAACCCCAAATCAAAACCGCCTGAAGACTTAAAGCAACGCTTTTGAAGACTCTGGAGCCGAACCGATATCCGGCGGCCGCTGGCGATTTTGAAGGGACCACTCCTATCCCTCCAGACCTTCCCCAGCTGAACTTGGGGTCTTGGGAGAAAGTGTGTAGGGCTTTAAGTTGTTCGGGAGCAAAGTGTAGACAGGGCTACTGAAAAAAGACAGAAAAGCAAGAGCGTTCCGGCTGTTAGGGTTCAGGGTTGCGGGTTTTCGTTTCAGAATGTACGGTTTGGGGTTCTTAACTCCCTTCGTCGTAGGCTCAGGTCATGTGCTTCTGATTCCTGACGCCCGGGAGTGGAGATTATTTGAGCTGAGCATGCAGCTGGAAGGCAGCTGCAGCTGACAGCCTATTCGCGCCCAACACTGCGCTTGCGCGCACTCGCAACATCTCCTTACCAAACTCATTCCTTAACATTACCCTGCAATCGTAACCCGTGCCCTGAGCTTCCAGGCTTGCAACCTAAACCTAAGAGCGCAGCCCCAAAATCTTCCACCCAAGCGCCCAAGCGCCCTGCACCCTTCGCACTTCAAGCGCGGGGATGACGGCCTGGCTGTTGCAGCTCTCGGAAGCTGAGCTGACCAAGGCCTTCTGCACTCAGCGCCCTCCCCGAGTTATGTACAACACAGGTACTCATGCATGATTTGGCAGGACGTGCGTCAAGACCTATCTCTACTTTGTCTTTCTGGTTTTCTGGATCCTTACAGCGTGGTCATCGTCGTCGTCGGGAGTGGCAGTACAGCTGCTGCTGCTGCTGCTGCTGCTGCTGCTGCTGCTATTGCTGACTGTAAGCATACTTCTGCTACTGCCACAGTTCCTGTTCATCATCCTTTCCATTTGTCGTGCTGTTCCTCGCAGTGCCATTGCATGTTGCGATTGCGGCTGAGCGTGACTGTGACTTCAATGCTTCTGACATTAATTCACCATGTCAGCAGTAGGACAGTTACAGTCAATTGCCACTATGTTCAGCACGCTTCAGGGGTTTGGCCCTGTCTGTACTGGGAGGTCCTGCGATGCCTCGAAGCGGAATCTCTCCTGGAGGCTTGCTGTCACACTTGGGGCTGTTAGCCAAGAGGGGCAGAAAACACAAATTTTGGAGTATTCGAGAAGCCATGAAGGCAGACGCAGCACTGGAGGGGTGGAAGTGAGAGCAGTAAGGTCGTCGCTGCCGTTGTCCGCGTTCTAACACATACCCGCGCTCCTCGTAGCGATACTTGTGGTGCCGTTCGTTCAAGATGATGCCGTAGGAGCATGGATGAAGCCCGTTAGCACCTTGGAGGGTGACGGTGAGGATATAGTTGTTGGCCAAGATGCAAGAATGTTGAACATATGCCGATGTTGCTAGGGACGATTGTGATGGTTTGGTGACGAGAACGCAAAAGATAGCGATGGCGATGCTGATGATTAAAGTCGTGCTGTGCCCACCCCAATCGTACATGACCCATGAACTTCATGATGCCTGCCACTAGGCTGTAGTTGTCAAGGTTTCATGTCATTCGTCATTGTTCTCGTCGCATGGTGGTAGTGAATTTTGGGTCGTGGTGGTTCGGTTGGTTCTGTTTTTTTTTTTTTTTTCCGTCTCGTGGTTTGCAAGTCTTTCCGTTGCTTGTGCTCCTGTCTGAGGAGGTTCTATTCTATGGTATGATTTTTGTCGCAGGCCACATCGCTGTGCCGCGATGTATCGGCTGCCGCCGGGAGCTCATCATTCCTGCAGCTACATAGGGTCCGGAGTGCACCAGCGAAGTGTAAATCGTTGATTGTAAGTAGGAGCTGCCCAAGGTATGTTGCGATCTATAAGGGAATTTTGGGGGTGGAAGTTGTCTTTGTTGTTTGAGAGATCGCAGGGTGCTGGTTGAGTTTTGCAGCACCGACCCCACAGCCTCACCCACCTTGCCAGCTCTTCCGCATGTGCACGCGAAGTTGAGCCTGAGGATCATCTTCCAGGACTTGTTCATATTGAAATTGCAACGGATGTTTTTGAAGTCCCTCCTAGCTGCAAATCATCTTCCCAGGAAGCCTTGTTGACAGTTTCCCAGCTGTAGAGGCACTATTTTGAATGCTTCCCCCGCTGAATTTCCGCAAGGAGACGGGCCGGGAGAGACATGTATCGACCGTCGACGCACCTGAGAAGAGGGATGTCAGTCAGATTGACTTGTGCGCCTCAGGTGAAGCCAGCAGAACCCTGGCTGTGGCATCAGCTGTTCGAGAAGGCGCCTTGTGATTGAGTGTGCTCTCGCTTTGGAAATAGATGCAGGGGCAAGGAAAATCAGGGAAAGGCGGGGTTTACCAACGAGCATGGTTACTAACATGTTATGGTTTGATGGCGCAAGAATGGACACTCAAAAGCGTATCTTCGACATGCAGGCAGTTCAGCTGTAAGCATAAGCTCTCTCGGAGGAGAGGCAGAACGATGGCTGGGCGGGTGTCGACTGCGACGTCCAGGCACCGCGTTGTCCATGGAAGTGTGAACACGGTCCGAAGCCAAGCCGTTTTGGAGGAGCCAGAAAGCGGGGCGCTCCGCAAGGCTGAGGAATTACTCAGCCATGCCCTCCCCGTGCCAAGCACCCGGCATGTCCAACTGCGACTGCGCCAAGGCACTGGCCCTGGCCCAGAACTCCCGATGAAGCTCCTGTTCGGTCCTCGCAAGTGTGATCGGTTTGTCTGGGTCAGTTGGAGTCTTTGCGAGGTTCCGCTTGCGCAGGTACTTGGCACAGCTCTGCTCTCAAGAGCGATCAGAGGGGTTCGTCCGTGACATTGTCGGTCATTATCGACCTACCGAGGAGGAGAATGCCAAGCCTTCCGGATGCGTCTCAAACCTACCATGAAGATCCAGACTCGAATTAAAGCCGTGACACATTCAAATGCAGAGAAGCACTTCGTTGAGCACTTTAATTTCTGAAGCTACCGAGGCTTCGATGTGCAGCAGACCACGGGCATCAGGTGGATTCGCATCACCCGACCGGAAGTTTCAAGCATTTCTTCTAATTACTAGCCGTGTCTCGGGAGCTTTCAGCTGCCCCGAGAGAAATTACGGCCAGACTTGGCTAACTGCCAGTCATTGTGGAGCCCCGATCAGGTGGTTCTGGAGCTTTTGCTGCATCTCCGTGCCCTGACGAGAAGGAGAAGCATCGGTCGAGTAAGCGATTGCTGCTGATCAGATCTTTTCATTATGGAACATACAGTTCACTCAGCGCAACAGAGCTGTGATCAACTATGAACTTGCTTACCACCAAGGTGCCGATCCAAACGTTCCCGCCGACAGTGGCGCCCACGGCGTCGGTTTTACACAGGTCCAGTGTCGGCTGTTCTTCCGTTCCGAACCTTGCCCTTGGCTGTCGTTCGCAGGTGGGAGCATACCCGTTGCATCTGGCCGCAAAACGTGGCCGCCTCGAGGTGATGGAGGCCTTCTCCAAGTTGCAAGTGTCAGTGTCTTGCCTCCTTAACACCTGTTTTGTAGGTGTTGCTGAAAGCCGGTATCGGCCCGAGACCTCCGGTCGTCAAGAGCTTTTCTTCATCGCGCAGTCCGAGGAGCCTGCATAGATGCGGCCGACCAAAACGGGCGGACGGGGTGCCTTGACTCATCTGACAAGATGGGATGTCGCGAGTACAGCCTGCGAGTCTTACAGAGGCTTATGGTGGCAGCGGCCAGTGGACAGTGTCATGCCCAGTGACTGACATCTAGAATCTAGCAAGTCTTTTTTGCAACGAGAGATCTTCACGAAGGCATTCTGCCATCCTCTGGCTGCTTTGCCATCGAGCCGTCCCTCGCCTTAAAAGCATCAGTGCGCATTCCTTGATGGAAGCTCCCCTGTGAAAGGCAGCGGATAGCAGCACTCACTACGGCTACACAGCCCGGCCCAAGCACGATTCAAGCGCCGAGTCGCGAGCCTCGGCCAGAAATGGCCAGGCCTTGCACTATGCCGCCCTCGTTCCGAGGCCTGAGGCAGGAGATTATGAAGAGCTGAGAGGCAAGCCTCCAAGCGAGCTCGATCGCAGGTAGTCCACGCCTTGTTAGAGGGCCGTGCTGCTTTCTCAGTGGGCGGAAAGGACATGAGCTTGCTCTTTCTTCCATTGCCGTTTCGATTTATCGAGGCGAGCTCGAATGTGGTGGACCGTGAAGGTCGCAGTGCTCCCTGGCGAAACTGCTATTGCAGTATGCAGTTTCACCTAGAAGACCGAGCACGCCATGTTTCCGCCAGTGACAAGTGTGATGTTCGGGTACTGCTCGAAGCTTCGGCTGTCCTAAGGCTTTGCACGCAGCTCTTTCCACGCTGCCCAGAGCACGCGCATCCCTCAGAAACTGCGGCTTTCCCTGGGCTACGAGATACCTCCTAGGTACCGAGGGTGCCGCCGTGTCCACAAGCTGTGATCCGTCAGGCCACCCGATCCCAAGCTTAGTAAATTTTGCATGTGGGCTTCCAGCACGAGATCGAAGATGCTTCATGCAGTGTCCTGCACAAGCCGGTGTGATTCCAGCCGACAGCCTAGCTCCTGCGCTGAAAATTCATGCTGTCTATGCAGCTGACAAGCACTGGGGCTCCAGCCGTCCGCCTGATCTCTGACCGAGATGTAGTCTTGACCCGCGCAGGCATTGGCGATGAGTATTGCTATGAGAATGACATCTCTCATGGCTACCGAAGGAAGGAGCAGGAGGCACACGTTGCAGGGCACAGTGCAGAACTCCGTCATCAGTGCAGGGGCCACTCTTCTGCAAGCGACAGGAGGCGCAAGTCCAGGCCGTCCAAACTGCCGTGACGGCTCTGATGCGTCTGGACACTCGGATTCGCAAAGTCCTGGACAAGACGAAGAAAGGAGAGACGTTCAGTTTGCGCCTGAAAGCTCTAAGGCCACGGAGCCGATGCGGAGCTGCGAGACGGTCGTGGCCCCGGCTCATACAGGGGGTGTCACCGTGACTACGATCGGCTGAAGTGATCCGTCGGAGGACAACCATGCGTGACATTGCGTGACCCGCACACAACGTCCGTTGGACCAGTGGGCAGCAAGAGTAGAGGGCTGCAGGCATAAACCTGCAAGGCCCTGAGGATCTACCATACCGAACTTGCACCCTACGCGAGATCGGCAGCATACTGTGGAAAGCTGAACCCAAGGTTCCGGCCGCTCCGCCATCGACGTGGTTCAGGAGAGAGAGTGCGAGAGCAGCGATGGCCTCCCATAGACTGTCCAAGGCTTAGTGGCTTAGTGCTCCAAGATCGGTTTACAGGTCCCGTAGGGGAAAGGGAAGGCCTATAGACTCCAATGTGGACGGCAGGAGTATACAGGGGTAGCGGTACCAATGCTATTCATCTTGAGATCAAGGAGTGCTACAGTCCAGGTGCCGGTTTCGCTTTGCAGGACAAGCGTCGGGCTGACCTCGCGGTGTGGCTCCGGAAGCTGTCGGATCCTGCCTGCGAAGGCCGGTCGCTGCTCTCATGTAAAATGCTGAACTTCAAGAGGAAAAGCAATGGTCGGACCACCAGAGGGGCTTCGCCGAACGCGGTGGTGGTAGCGGTGCGGAAGAACCCAGGGCCAGGGTCAGATTTTCTCAGGCCTCAGCAGCGAGGCACTTCCCGCAGCTGAAGAAAGTGCTTCCACGACGACAGAGCCAGACAGGATCAACCCAAGTTCATATTGCATACCGCTGCTGCAACCTTGCTAGTGGATTTGTCAGAATCTTGCGTGATCGGTGCTGCAGTCCATTGCCGTAAGCCTTGGTGCCTTTGGTTTTTGCGGGAAATGTCAGTGCACCGCGAAACAGTGGAGATGTTATTGGCACAAGAACGTAGACCAACATGCAAAACATGTCGCTTAGTCGTGATTTCTCACCGCCGGAAGCCGTCATCAACCTAAATCGTGAATCGTTCAGTCCCCCATCGCCCCTGCAGATGCGGGTCGTCCGCTGATCCGAGCAGCGACTTTACTCGTGTCTGCCTTGGCTTGCTCCATGCCTATGCACCAGCTTTCCAATGCCTACCATGTCTGCTGTCCCGGAGCCTTCTGTGGTCCAAGGCCCATCTTGGAAGCTTTGCAGCGGCGTGCTGCAGAGAGCAAAAAGACCGCATCCATGTGCATTCCTGGGTCCCATGCTGTGCTGGCACTGACTCCCTTACATTGCCTTACTTGCGTGTTGTGCAGTCCGAGGCTCGTCCTGTCCACAGCTGTTCGGTGGATCAAGAGCGCTTGATGCCCTCGCTTGCCGAATCGTTGCTGCTGCCAGTCTCGGCAACTTTTGGGAGTTGCTGGGACTGGCAGCAGCGACGATTCCGTCACGGCCATGAGAAGCTTCTTCATAAAGCAACCGTTGCTGCGGCTTCACGTGGATAGCAGCTTTCACTACGGCTACACTGCTACACCCCGCACTTGAGACTGTAATTAAACGATGCTTCTTGTCAGCACGGTTGAATTACAGTCTCAAGTGCGGGGTAGTTGCTATTCACGCCACTGCGGGAAGCGTGCTGGGAATGTCAGACCTGGTCCGGCCCGGCTGCCCAAACGAGACAGCGAGGACTTGAACTTGAAAGCGCTACCCGCTCCTGTGGGGGGCTTTCAGCCTGTTATGTTTGTCTGCGGCTGCCAGGACTCGAGGCATTTAGTTACAGCGCCGCAGCTTCCAGAGTGAGTTTTTGTCGTTGGGAGTGGCATTACTGCGACCTTACTGCGACCCGGAATTCGCATCACTTGATGCATCTTGTCCCTAAAATGTATGGGTTGTTCCGTGATTTCCGCGGCAGTTTCGTGAGCGTTCCGCGTAAGTGCTACGTAAGTCGAACGTGCAAATTGGCCATAATTGGCCCAGGCAGGGGCACATTGAAGAAATTTTCCTCCGGCGGCAGCAGCACCAGTAGTTGCAACAGCAGCAGCGACGGCTCCCAGTGAAGAATCATTTGCAGTGACATTTTGCACATTGCCCTCCCGATCACTGGCCTAAGCTGGCAAATCCTTAGCATTGAGGTGCACTGAAAGCAATGATCCTGAAGCCCACATGAGGAATGTCATAGAATCGCTGCAACATGACGGGCCCCTGCATGTTGAGGCATTCTGTGCCGCAGCGAAGCATTTAAGATTCAAGCATCAAACAGACTCACAGGTGGTGGAGCCTCCATGATTGCCGCTCCTGACTCCTGATTACACTGTTATCAAGCTAGACTTGGCCTGGAGTTTTGCAAGCTGAGATGCTCATAATGCTGACCCAGCCTGCCCCCTTTTTCTGGATGCTCTGTCACAAGAGACGGGGGGAGAGACAGATACGGACTGAACGCTTCTACCACACACCGTCACCCGTACACACACACACAAGAACAAGATGTTTACACATGCAGCTGCATGTGCACAACATATATTCATACTCGTGCAGTTGACGCATGCTTGCATGCATGTGATGGTGGAGGATGTGTGTATCAACTTGCGCAAGCTGCATTACAGATTCAGAGTTTCCCATGAGCTGAGATGCAAGCACTCGACACCGTGCCGAGGCGTACACAACTGTTGGTGCCGACAACAAGCACGATTTGCTCGGTCTCCCATCTCTCCGATCTTTGGGCTTGAGGTTCATCACGCATCGGAAGAATGGTGCAAACTTGGAAGTCCTGGATGTTTTTTTGTTGTTTTTTTTTACGTCGGTGTGGTGCTGCACATTCTCAGCACCGTGCATCGCTCGGACGCCTCTTCACCCTTGCCTGGCTTGACGGCGGAAGGCTTGTTTGATCCTGAATGCCGAAAAGCACACAGCATATTCACGGGATGTATGATGCACATGCTGCTGCTTTGATTGGCACAATCATCTCTGGCTCGGAGCAGGGTGACATACAGACATACAGCTGCACAGTTCCAGTTGCTGGTGAACACAAACCTAGCGGACCTAGAAACCCAACCCAAGCCAGCGTTGCACTGCCATAGAAGGCTCCTCACCCGCGTCATCTTAGAGACCTTTTCAGGAACACATCTTGTGAGGTTTCAAAGCAGACCTCGGCCTCGTGCCCCTCATGGCAGCGCCAATGTGCGCTGCAAGCGCGGCTCGCCGGACTCGGCATGGATCGTCGCAACGCGCAAGCCGGCATGCCCAAAGTCTCGGCATGCTTGGCCTTCTGCTCACTCTGCCCAGAGAGACCTCGGCCTCGGGCGTTGGAGCCTTGAGCTTCGTTCCCGCTGCTTGGCAGCAGCTGGACGGGGTTTGACGGGGTGTCGGTGCCTGTGTGGTTCATATTGGCTACATAAGGTCGCTGTCACCGAGCATTGCGAGAAGGGGGAGTGGTGTGCTCTTCCTGATAACTTTTTGTCCGCCCACGAAGCCTTCGAGTTCGCACTTCTTCGCATCAACGAAATGCGGCAAAAGTGCTATGGCTTCACATTGGCACCTGTAAGACGACAAGATTACATGGTGGCGGGAACCCTCCGGAAAGACATGGATGGCTATTCCCTCTACCATCTGCGTCTGAATTCAACGAATCAATTCGTTCCGCTCCTGGCCCGGAACGACTTGTGTGGTTCCCGTTGCAGCCGCAGCCCATCTTGCGGAGAATGTAGCAGACGGCGAGCCAAGGACCAAAGTAGATGTGGAAGTGGCTCACTTACATCGCATCACCGATCTCTCCATCTTCCAGGCGCGAGAACAGGGCTGATTAGGGCTTCAAGTTGCGACTGATCCACAGGTCACGAAAGTCGAGCCACAAGCTTGCAACCTTTTCAGCCGAAGGCCCAGAGATTGGGCCACGGACGACCGGGATCAGCTTTAGCAGCAGAACTCATAGACGTTACTCATTTGGTCAAAATACTTGGCGACTGAGCGACGAATGCTGTCGGATGCTGCTGCGTAAGGTGCAGCCGACGATGCTGAACTCCTCATTCCGACAAGTTGGCAAGAAGCCAAGGACCGAACGGGTGTCTGCGGGCATCTTCTTGTAAGCACCCTGCAAGGGCAAGACATGAACCTTAACATCTTCACAGTCAGAAACCGCCGAAAGGAAGCAGCTGAGACTGCGAGGAAGGTCTTCAATGAGCAGATCAAGACGTTCTGCCGCTGACCTCACACCCTCCGTTAAGTTACGTCCATCGCCTCTGAGGGCGGAGGGCTTGGGCTTCCTCTTTTTGAGTCTGAGGCCCGGAGAAGCGGCCTTTGCAGATCCTCCGCATCCTGGCCGCGGCGCGGCAGCCGGTGGAGGGCAAGGCGGCGACCTTTTTGCAACCACGCGGTGCGAACGGAGTCTTCGAAGAAGAGACCCAGCTGACAGGTGTTGAGATTGCAGTTGGAGCTGCGACAGGCTCGTGCGCACACGTGCGGTCAGTGGACATTCATGGACGATAGTGTCCTAAAGGTAGTGTCTCCCTGGAGGAAGAGGAGAACTTCGGTGGCTCTTTCGAAGAGCAGGTCCTGGTTTCCTATGCCCTGGACCATCACGTGCCAGAGGAGATGTCACTGGTACCCGAGGTCTATGCAGGCACAGTGGGGTGTCTCTCTCTCTCTCTCTGCGATTCTCCGGCCGTGTCAGAGGTCGGTACCCATGCAGGATGGGACAACAAGAAGATGAGCAAACTGCCCTGGACAGCCACGCAAGCAGTGCCAGAATGGCAGATACAGTGCTTTCGGTGCGGAATGTCAGGACTTCTTCAAGTCCAGCCGACGACTGGGCTCCGGGAAAGCATCCGAACGCAGGCAGTCGAAGCTCCAAATGCACGATGGCCACAGCCCTCAACAGATCCAATTCACCACCCGAGTATGCTAGAGGTGGAGGCATCGAATGTTGCCGGCTTGCTACAATCGGGTCTGGTGTCTCTAGATCACTGTCCGCGGAACAGGCTGTCTTGGGATCCAATCTCTGCTTCCGAAGCAGCGGCTGCGGCTGGGCGCGACCATCAGCTGGAGCGCCCTTTCCAGGAGCAAGGCGAGCATCTGGTGTTTCTATACCGTACCAGTTGGATGCTCCACTTAACTAGCTTCTACTTGTAGTGCATGACATGGTTTTAGTGGTAGGTACACTTTGTCGTGCCTGTATACCTGTGCCTGTGTTTGTACCAGCCAGCCCCGGCTTGATTGCCTACACGCATACACGCATGGGTTTAAGTGTTGCTCTGCGTGTTCGACTTCTCTGTCTCGCTCTCTCGCTCTCTCGCTCCCTCTCTCTCTCTCTCTTTGTTCTCTCTCTCTCTCTTTTTGTTTGTTCTCTCTCTCTCTCTGTCTCTCTCTCTCTCTCTTTCTTTCCACGGGGTTGTGGTGCAGGGGAGCAAGCCTCTCTCTCTCTCTCTCTCTCTCTCTCTCTCTGTCACTCAGAGATACACTCTCTGTCCCCGGCTCCCTCTCTCTCTATCCCTCTCCGTCTTGACCCTTACTGAGCGCCAAAAGGCTTGGATCTGCCGGACAACTTTGACCCTCGAGTGGAGAAGACACTGTGCTTTCCTCGTGGCATCTCCCGACATCAAGGCTCTGGTTGCTCAATTTGCCAGGGAAATGGATGGATGGTTGGGTAGGGTCATTTCCGTCATTAAACATGAGCCATTGCTGCGCTGTAGCCATAAAGGCTTACAGCAGGGCAGCACTTTCTCGTTGCGATGTTTACTTACCGAATCTATCTCCATAAGTGTTTGTCGTGATATCGTGGCAGGCAGCTGCGGTTCCAGCTGGGCTTTTGCTGCGACAGCTGTGGCCTCTTTCCGTGAATGTCTGGTCAAACTGCACGGAGGCACGTACGACTGAGCTGATCTTCCGGGTGATTTCGGCAGTTTCTGTGATGATGGCAGGTGAGGTGCCTGCTTCCTTGAGCTTCCTGTCAGCCCAGGACGCAAATCGAAAAGAGGGAGCTGCTTGCATGCGATCATGAAGGGGCCCTCCCAGCAGGAGCTCGTGTCGTGCTCCGCGCACCACGGCTGCTCCGGCGGAAGTGCCGCCGAGGCGAAGTCCCCGTGCCTCTTTGCTCGCCTTCAAAATGGTCTGCCAGGCTTTCTACTACATGAAACAGCACGGGGCGGCCAGGGAAACCTGCTCACCATACCGAATGCGATGCTTCCACGACCAGTCCACAATATCCATGGAGGCTTGTAGCAACAACCGCTACTCTATGCTGCATCAGGACCAGAATCGATGTTCTATCAACAGTTGCATGATTCGAACTGGACTTCTGATTAAACTGCCTGGCAGGCCGCAGACTTCAAGACAGCCGTGGCCCACACGCAGAGTTCGGAATATGCCACAATGTGCCACGAGTCTGCTGATGCGATCTTTGGCCGCCTTGGTGCCAGTCTGGGGGGGGGTTCAATGACACATAGCTCCTCCGAGCAGTGTTGGGTTCAGTTGAAAGATGGAATCAGATTGACTGCAGTAAGGGAGACAGCCGCCTGTAAATGCCTGCCCAATGTCTTCCACCTTTCGGAAACGGTCGCCTGTGACCTGCTTCCCGCTGCATGCCCAAAGGTTTCTTGGCTGCACAGGTGCTGCCAGTCTCCAGTCTAGCAGTAGTAGCTAAGCGTTTTGTAGATGTGTGCGAACCAAGACTCGTATCCCCAGCTACTTCAAGATCCGGGGGACTATGGAGGGCAATACCGTGCCAGAGTTGGAGCGACACATGATGCAGGAGCCAGTAGCTCAGCTTATCACGGCTCAGGATCCTGCCCTTTGTGTGTAGGAGCTGATTACCGATGGTCCTTTGTACGTGTCGCTCTTCCTTTATGAGGACGCGGGTGCATCGCGTAGGAAGCATAACTCTTGAGGCGTCTCAGTTCTTGCACTTAGGTCTGACAATCCTCTGTCTCTCTCTCTCTCTCTCTCCGTGAAGGAATATGTATCAACGCTCACATGTCCAATTAAAACGCAAATCCTCCAGAATGAAAGTACTGCCCAAACTCTGGGCGTGCGACCCTCACGGGCCTCCAAGTGATTTTTGCCATCGGCGGATCTCCGGGTCAAGGGTGTGCGGGGTTGCTGTTTCTACGTGTTGCGCTGTTTGTTGACGTCTGACACATTGCCGGGCAGCAGTACACTGGTACGCGTGCAGTTTTTCTCTCCGCCCTGCAGAACAGTTTCGATGTCATTGAAGGAAGGTGGGAACAGAAATGGCAGGACCGCAGGACTGCGGAAAACTCCCCAGTTTCAAACCTGCAAAAGGCTTGTGCTCTGGCGCGGGAGGGGTGAAATCCTCTCATGCCGAAATCAAGAAGAAGAGAGAGACAGAGATCATGGACAGCTTGGCGTGCAGGGTCCCTTCATCATACGTAGGTGTCCTATTGTGTTCCGATTTCGGTTGGCCAGTTTGTCGCCAAGTTGCTGTGGGCTGCCTTTTTCTGCGATCATTGCCTTTGCTCGTGTGCGCAAGTAACTTTTGTCTCCCGCAACCGTCGCGGGGCGCACTAGCGCGCGATGTAGGGGGGTTTCCCTTCTGCATCATGACTCTGGCGAAAGAAAAGAGAGAGGTCAAAATCCTGCGGACCACAGGTGCGCGTTCGCGTGCGAGGGGTGGGGTGTCCGCCCTGCTTCTCTTATCTGCGAGAGAGAGAGAGAGAGAGAGAGCAAAGCAAAGAGAGAGAGAGAGAGAGCGTAGTGGCCTGTTTGATGCACCCTGTGAGCCACGGGAGAACATAACCATGGAGACAGGGGGCACACCGGCGACAGTGACTGACGGCTCTGGTGCCACCTCGAGCCACTCCTGATGCATCACACATCCCGGCGCCACCTATCTCTTCGAAACGGACGTGGGGGATCGAAGTCCGCCGGCACATGCCAGGAGTCCAGGAGTCGCCCAAAAATCCCAGCCGGGTCTCTTGTGCACGAAGCGTGGATGATGGAGCACTTCGTCGATGGGCCGACTTTGCTAATGTGGCCCGAGGGGGGGAGCGACGCATGCATGCAGTTCTCTTTGTTCAGCATGGTGTGTTTGCGTTTATTTGTTTTTGGCTTGCTGCACTTGATATTTATTTTGTGTTGTGTATGTCTTTGCTTTTTCTGTGTTATGTATTCGTCTAGTGTTTTCTTGAAATTTGGTTTTGGTTGTGTTTATTTGCCTTAGCAGCATGTATTTTTTGTTTTTGTCACAGCTCCAAACGTAAGCAGGAACGGCTCCCCTGCTGCACTGGTGCAAAGGCAAGGACACAGAACTTTCAACCAGCAATCGGCATTGGCAGTTCTCTGGATGCCGGATGGGTCATGTTTTGCCCCCCTTCTCTGAATAAAGACCCATGACATACAACCAAATAAATCAATAATGAGATAAGATAGGCATGTAAAGAGACAGATCGCAGGCCTTGAAACAAGCCAGGTTGCAGCAAGTTTCCGTCACATTCGAGATGCATCGTCTTGTTTCAGGCTATGTCAAGCCTCTCCGGCAAGACAGCAAAGAGTCATGAAACATGTAATGTAATGAGGTTAGGGGAAGCTGAGCAGACTGCGAATGTGTTGAGCCCCTACCTGTGCTAGGTTCTGTACTGTGATGCTTGGGCATGCTCGGCTCTTCATGCTGCATGTTTTGCTGCTGACATTGGACTTGAACCCCGCTGAAGCCTGTCAAGTGCGAGTCTTGTCAGATGCGCTAGTCCGCTAGTCCTTGCGCGGGAACCAGACTTGTGGAGGCTACTTGCAGCAAAGGGTGTAGGCAGGTTGTGGGTCTCAGGTAGAGGTGTCGCGTTACACTCCGATCCCGAACGAACCCCAAGCTGTCGTCTTCGAAGTACCACTAAGACCAGGGCGCGCTTGCGTGTGGGGGGGGGGGATGCAGAGGTTCTTCCACACAGCCAAAGTGAGGCAGAGATAGAGAGGCAGAGACGGGCATTTTCTTGGAGAGCTCGTGCATCTACTAGCCTCCCAGCCTATGCAGCCTGGAAAGGACTTCTTTGATCAGACCTCCTGGTCCGAAAGTTTGGATCTTGGAAGCCATGCGAAGCTGGACCGACATCCCAGCACTGTGTTGTCTTGTGAGTGCTAGGTGGGATCTTCGAGCACAGACGCGGTGATCCTCTCGGAAGGCCATGGAGCCGGAAAAGCCCTTGGCGCAGATTCCATCATGGACATGTCTTGAAGGCACGGCGCCGCGCTCATTGGCTGGGGCACGGACATGGACAGCGGATCCCTCAATGCATCAAAGCTGTCCCGGATCGCTTACAGCGTTAGCCTGTGATGGCAGAGGCCGTGACTATTGGCTGCTGCTCAATTCTTTTGGCATGCAGTGGCGTCAGGGAGGCTACTTCAAGGTTTGGGTCTCGGATTTGGACCTTTGCTGCTCACATAATATCATAGACCGGCAAGACAAAAGCTTTGCCACCTACCAGCTTATGCAGTAGCTCTGCACCAGCAGTCGCCAGCATATGCACCAAAACTGCTCATTTTGGAACAGATTCTGCGTGGAGACACACCCGAACAGTTGCTGCACTACGGTGCCTGGGGCCAGCCGCCTACAGAGCTGTCGCGAACTGTTCGCCTGCTGAGAGTCCCTCGGTGCAACAGAGAAATGGCTCCGAGCTCAGGTGCAGATTTTCAGTCTACCGAAGATGAGAGGAAGCGTCCTCCGGCAATCTTCGCAGTGGAGGTGGCTCCTCAGTCTCAGCTACCTGAATTGGGTTCTGGAAACTCGTCAGAAAGTAATTTGAGCCTGCGCCGATCTCTTCCTGTGGGAGGTGTCCTTCTCACCCGTTCCTCTGCGCCATGGCATCGCCAGCGAGCCTTTGACAGAGCTTGCGCATGCCCGGGCGCTAGCATGACGGGATGGGGAGAGCAGGACAAAACATATTAAAGGATGCAGCGGCTCCGAGCACGTCTTTCAGCAGTGCAGATCAGTGTCGAGGTTTGGTTGCGTGTTGCGGTCGCGGCCTGAGACGTGGTTCCTCTGCCCACTGCATGACGCAAAAGAGTCCATGCTCTCACCCCCTCTCGCTGACTCTCGCTCTTTGTCTCTGCAGCTCTGCTCACTAGTTTGCCACCGACGAGCGGGCCAAAGCTCTCGTCCGCAGACAGCCCGGCATTCCACGACACGGCGCTACACTTCGAATGTGCTCCTGTTGTAAACACCCCTGGCTGAGGCCTGCTCGGACTGGCAAGCGGTATGACAGCAGAAGTTTCAGAGGCAGTCTCAACTGGACGGATTTGCATGGAAACATTCGACCTTGACTCACCTGGCAGAAATCCGTGCCGGCCAACACAGTGGGTCTGGCGCACGGGATTGCAGACACTTCTAGGGGAGTGTACTGTGCCACTTCTCCGCCGAGAACTGGGAGAAATGGAAGGAGGTGAGGCTCACACCGTCCAGATTGACCTCATGAAGCTGCGCCCTAAGTGCACCTGCATAGTCCTTCGCTGATCGCGTCGTGCTGAATGCCCTAACACCGAAACGTCGTGACACTGGTGCATTTACATGCGGCGCTTGGGGAAGTCTTGCAAGTTTCGCTTGCCCTTGTAGCAGTTATGTTGTTATGCACAGCTGCAGGGGCATTTCTTGCAGAGCCATGCGGACTGCGTCGCGAGGCACTCTTTGTTGGGTGATCGACTTGAGCTGCGTGTTTGGGCGCTGAGCCCAGCGCCAGTCAGCGGTAGGCGCAAGTGTCGCAAGAGCTTAGTGGCTTAGTGGATGTGCTGTCAGAAAAGCAGGCTATGTCATCAAACTGCCCAGTCTGTTTTCGGAACACCAGGACATGGTGGCAAATCAGAACCATGACACTCTGCTTTGTCCCCAGGCATCCGACAAAGCCGACAACACGGGAAGCACGAGTCCCCAGCATCAGTGCAGTTGAAATGTGCTTTGACCTGCTTCGCAGAGTTTTTTTATCGGAGGCTGGGGTCCGGTGGCCTTCGATGTCCCGGACCTGCAGGTCTTCAGGAAATCCCTGTCAGGTGCGGGGTTGCACCGTAGGAGGCCAATCAGTTCCGGCTAGGGAGATAGTTCTGCTATGAAAAGCTTCTATGGTTAAGCTAAAGTTGTTACACACCCCTGCAGTTCAGGTCAAAGCCCTCTGAACCGCAAGCTGTCTCTGGGGCTTCCGAGCGAAAAAGGTCCATGCAAGACCTTGATAAATCCTCGTCTTTAGTGAATTTAGGCTTGCGGTAGTGGCACTTGCAATGCTTTGAGATGAGGGCTGCACCACTGCTCTATGACTGCTCTATGGTCCAGTATGTCGGGGAATGCTGAGCAGAATATCTTGGAATCATAAGCGGCACTGCTCCCACGTAGGTTTTACGAACATGTTGTTGGTCACTTCAGTGAAGAAGGTCGCCTTGGGATGAAGAAGTTTGTGCCCAAAACCCATGTCGCGTGCTGGGCAACTGGACAGACGTGGATTACAGCCGACGACTGGAAGATGAAGCCTTGGTCTCGGGCGTGAAACCTCGCATTCCGTTTCCCACATGATTACTGCTCACAGACGTCTAGAGTCTACGTAGACTTGACGCTTTACTGATTGCGACAAGTGTCGGGACACCAAGCTCACGGCTCTTGCTTCTCCCATCAAAGGCCGCTTACATGCCCTCGGGGGCAGATTCGCAAAAGGGCAAGGCCATTCCCGCTCTTGTCCATGCAGTCCACTGCAGCCACAGAGTATCACAGAGTTCCAAGGGCTGTTCTGGCTGCAACTCCGGAGGATCAGAAGCCTTTCAGATGGGACGTCGAGACGCTTCACTTTCACATCTGATTGCAGCCGCCGACGGCTAGGGCAACGTGTAGGCCGCTGAAAAGGGTGTGCCGACTGTGCCGGGAGTTGGGCAGAAGATCTGCCTCAGCACTCAATGCCGAGGAAGAGCGGACGAAAACTGAGTTTGCCTAGGAGGGCTCTGCTTGAAGCAAGCAGTCAGCAATATTCTTGACATGACCGTTTGCCAAACGTTCTCACGTGTCCAATTGCCAATGGCTCGAAACTTCATCGGAATGCGAGACCGTGCCTGGGCATGATTCGCTTGTGGACGTGTTTCTTTCTAACCCACGCCTAGGAATTCCAAGTGCTGCTCCCACGGTTTTGTTTCAGAAGTGTCAGGAAATCTGTAAGTCCACATCTAGGAGCTCAACGTATGTAAGAGCGTGTAGATCATCATGTGTGCATCCGCCGAGTAATTTCCCGGCGACGTCGCCGCACGCAATCAGGTGCCAACTGCTGGAGTGACGTGTTAGCTGACATGTGCATGCGTAGGCCCTTTCTGTGACAAAATGGCATGGAGATACATGCAGCCGTGATTCAGAGTTCACAGGTTCACAGCACAATCAGAGTCGGTGCGAACCTCGGCGTTCTGCATGCACTCGGGGACGAACCACTTTAACACTGGAAGCGGCATTGCACCACAGCGTCTTCATCCCTTTCCGTGACTTCAAGACTTTTCCTCGATGCTTTTACCACATCAGATCACCATCCTTGCAGTTACGGGTCGCATGTTTCGGAACATGAGTCTTGTGCCCTTACAGTCGAGCTAGACAGCTGTTTGTTCATGAGTGCGAGCTCTTCACTGCTGCGTCTTGGCTCTGATCTGTTGAGGGGAGCTCTTCGGAAGGGTTCCTGTGGACATCTGATAGAAAGCCTAAGCCATGCTGTGTGTTTTCGCATCTGTTGTTCATGCAGCAGACACCTTTCTTGAAGCAGATATCACTTGCTGTTGTGCTGGCCGCTGGCGTAACCTTGCCGGGGGTTGGGCTGCTGTGTACCACTGACAAAAGAAGCTTATGTATGTTGTTGTGCTTCATGTCCACGTACAAGCATATCACACATACAACACTAAGCTCGTGCTGCTTGACAGCCCAACCCTGGTATGGGAAGCCTGCACGTGCAAATGGCACCGGGCAGTGCAGACCGAAATCGGCCTGCAGACGAGGATTCGCCAAGTGGGAATCAAGGATCCAAGCGGATGCGCTCCCACGTCGTGCGAGGTGCGGCTTGGTTTGTGCCGCTTTCATGCCTTCAACTGTTGCCTGACAGGTCAGATACCACAGGACTTGGAAGAGCAGCTAACACAGCCATTTACAGAGGAGGAGTATCCTGGCTGATAGATCACGTCGAAGAGCATGGCATCAAATAGAGTGGACGCAGCCGTCATACAGAAGGAAGCAAGACCAGTGTGTTGCACTTTAGTTTTACGATTGCCTGAGTCTCGTGCATGTAGTTAGTCGGCTACTAGTAGTTGCTAGGAAGATTCAAAGCATCCAAATTCGGCCGAAATCATGCTTCGCAACTTGTGCATCAACATTTATGCCTGCTTGCTTCTTTTACTTTAGCTGTCTACGTCACACCAAAGCTGACTCTCACTGCATGTCACTGCTATTTTCCGGGCGAGCGATATCTTTTCTCTGCTTTTCCGTGGTGGCTTGAATTATTTACCGTCAGTTGATGCAACTTTCCTATGTTCTACCCATTGAACACAGCTCCACTTCGTCGAAGTGAATCTGATTGACCGGTGTCACCAACGACATTCCTTTCCGCCTTCCTACTCCGCCCTTCAAGACGCAAGTTTCTTTGGATTCCTGCTTCCGGGGGAGGAAGGATGGATCTGGGTGCCTCGCCTGCGTGCTGGAACTTATTCAACCTTTCTCTGCAACTGATTTTAGAATCTATCGCGTTTTCTTCCTGAAGGTCCTAACTTGAAGACTCATCGAAGACTGCACGGGCGATGAGAGTGAGACAGGCAGACATGAGGAAATGTTAATGAGGTTGCTGCAGAGAAGAAGCGTCTGCGACTCTGCGAGTTGCGAAAGATTTATACACATGACTGCTCCTACGTACACGTACATTTTTCTGCATGACTGTACGTGTGTTCCATCGGCAGCTGTTGCAGTAGGAAGCAGCTGAGGCGGCATCGAATTTTCGAGTCGGTCGGCCTGAACCAGGCCGAGCGATTACCGGAAGGACGATCTCCGATAGCACTCCGACACACCTTAGCAAACCGATTTAGGGTTTAGGGTCGTGGCTTTTTGGGGTTTAGGGCTTTGTTTCTGAAGTAGGGTTCTTGTCCTAAAAATCACGATGCTGCATGTCTGTACCCGCAAGGCCTGAGTAGACGGCAGTCTAAAGTCAACTTGATGGCGGACTCCCAGCGGCTGTCCGTCCTTAGGCTCTATGGCTCTTTGGACCTCCAGCCGCTGGCAAGACATCTATCAGTGACGATTTCGAAGTCGAGTTCTTCGGACGATCAGGCAATGCCGTGTCTTGGACTATTCACAAATCACGTCCCCAAGTCCCGACATGCCTAGCACTAGTGGAGCGCCGCAGAAGCTCGCCACCCGAGGTTTGCATTGATGGAAGCCACGTTCGCGATGCGCACACAGGCTTCCAGCAAGTCCTACAGCACGGCATTGAGAACGAAGTCATCCATGCAGATGCCTGGACTAAGCTGAAGGCCACCAAGCAACGTGCTTGCAACGCAGAGCGTTCCCGCATCAGAATCGGTGCTCGATTTCCGAGACGACCAGCTAAAAACTCCGAGGCACGTCGAGAGGCTGAAAGAAGAGATATTCGAAATAGCTGTCCGGAATCGCGGCTTGCTCAGCTTCTGCGTAGAGCAATGTTGATGCACCTGTTCTCTCTTGGCATCACAGCTAGACGTTACGTGTTGAATCAGGATTTCATATCAACGCAGGCGTTGATTGGCGAGTACTTGTATCAGTCTAATGGTGATGCGAAACTAAGCCCTCAAGAGACTCCACAACTGCCTGTCTGCATGTGCGGCTGGCAGCCCGAGGTCAGAACGTAAAGATCTGCGATGCCTGTCAGAAGCCAGATCGGGCCAAGCCCCCAGTAAGAAAGGAATCCTGCCTGGCTTATTGTTTAGCAAAAGCGCCGAGGTGCGGAAAATGCTTGCATTGCTGGAAGGCCTTGGGAAGCGACGGCATGTTGTGAAGCCCAGAGAATTTACATCCAAGCAGCTTGCGAAGGTGCGGACTTCGAGATGCACGCGCTGTGCCTTTGGGTGCCAGAAGTGGCAACGCAATCGCGAGGGCAGCACCGGTCAGTAGAGTCAAAGCGAGTTCTTTGTACCTCGCACCTTGGATGCATTTACTGCTGCTACTGCCACTGCCGCTGCTACTATACTGCTGCTGCTACTACAACTACCAAAAGCCACTGCGACAAAGAAGACTACTACTACTACTCCTACGACTACTACGACGACGACGACTACTACTACTACGACGACGACGACGACGACTACCGACTACTACTACTACTACTACTACTACTACTACTACTACTGCTACTACTACTACGACTACTACGACCATTACGA